CCTTCCCGGGAAACTCGGGTGGGACGCGACGATGGCAGCCCTCGTCCTCACGAGAGCCATGGAGGTGTCTAGCAGAGTCTTTGCGTATAACATCCTACAAGTCTCCGTGAGGGGATGGCCGCTGCTGCGTTTCGGTAGCCTGGTAGCAGTAGGCCTGGTGCTGGTGTCAGCCCGACTCCTCTTCCCCGATGCCTCCCTGGCAGATGTGGCAGCTCCTTGGCAGGGCATGGCAGGGCTCAGGGCATGGCGGGGCTCTCAGCGGGTTTTGGGGGGCAGTTTGGCTCTGCGCCTGAGGCGTCCACCATCGCCCATCCGGGGCAGATCTTGGAGCCCAGCTCGCTGCTGCCTCTTCAGCTCCCTGGCGGCCATGTGCGGCCATGTGTGGCGAAGCCACACAGTGCGTGTACGGCCTGGTGCTTTCAGAGACTGCCGTGACGAGGCATTCGCTCTGCCTCCACGGCTTTCTGGTCGCGGCTGCTGGTGGATCCCAGCTCCTGGTACATACCAGCGCAGCTCCAGATGCATCGAAGGCCGCGCCCCATTGCACGTGTCGTTGTTGGAGGCAACACTCCTGCGATTGTGAGCATGGCTTTGTGACTGCCCTGCAGATGCTGCCCAGCGCGCTGCTGATTGCCTGGCTGGTGTCCAGCTCAGTTCAGCTTCAGCTAGCTGAGCATGTGGCGCAAGCGCATGCCGTCTTTTCAGTGCCACCGCTAGCTATGTGTGGACCTGGTATAGCCAGTGTCCGAGGCACACTTAGCTTGGCACGGACGGAACCGGTCTTTCAGAAGAGATGGGGAGGGGTGCAAATGGGCTGCAGCACCAGACTGGACCGGAGAGGGCAAGCGTCCGATGTCCTTAGAGAGTTCTGTGATGAAACTGGCTCATGTGTTTTTTTAGTTGCTGAGTCTTGAGTATTCCCTCTGGCTTGGTTTCATGATTCGTACTTCCGGCCAGTCCCAAACGCAATGCCGGGAGAGTCATATGCAGACTTTCACAACATTGCTCCAAGTTTGCGTCTGCTTCTTGCAGCCAGCACCTGCAAGAGATAGGAACATGCAGGAGCCCTTTGACCTGGTGATTTCAAAAATCAAAGTCATCGAAGTCGTGCTGCACGTCTCTCATGCGGCACTCCTCAGTCAGAAAGATCAGCCGATAGAAAGGATGGATGATCCCCCATAGCAGAACGGAGGACATATTTGCTCGAAAGAAATAGAACTCATGCACCACGGTCGTTTTGTTCACTTCACAATTTCGCACAGTGACTTCATTCAATTTTTTGTTTACATATTGAATAGTCAGCGAACATCAGAATGAATGGACAAGCTACCGTGTGAACGCAGTGGGGCCATGATGCTGCGGTTGGACGGATCTCTAGGCTCTATATCCGAAGACATAAAGACTTAGGCCCAGATCAACAGGTTCTCTCTCTTGCGGGGTTGTTAGATGTTAATTTTAAAGTCAGCTATTGCTCCCGCCCGCTCCTCATCCGCTCCTCGCCCGCTGAGACTACCTCCAGAGACTGCCTGGAGACTACCGTGAGACTCCCTGGAGTGCCCAACCCAGAAACTCTCCAGAAACTGCCGTAAAACTCCCTGGAGTGCCCATTCCCACAGACCACCGTGACACTCCCTGACTACGTGAGAATTCCGGAGTGCCCAACTCCACAGACTACCGTGAGACTCCCTGGAGTGCCCAACCCGGGACCCCAGGACCTTATCGCCAGTCAGCAGTGTGCCCGCATGGATCGTCGACTGACCTGAGTCGAACACGTGTGTTGTTACGTGTACGGGGACCCCGCGTCCGTGTCGCCAGTCGGTGGTGTGACCCTGGCCATGGGTTGTCGAATTTTTGAATCGAACGCTTGTGTTGTGTTACGTGACCGGGGACCCCACGACCGTCATGCCAGTCAGCGGTGTGCCCCAGTGGATCGTCGACGGACCTGAGTCGAACACGTGTTTTGTTACGTGTACGGGGACCCCACGAGGACAAGCCTTTTGCAAGAGTCGCTCACCGTAGATGTTCCCAAAAACTAAATCTTGTTTCGGTGTTCCTCAATAGCTCTGACATCCGAAATGGGCTTGGCTGCCTCATTTGCCAAGGGGGTGGGCGCGTGGCTTCGCATGCAATCGTGCAAGACACCTCCAGCTCTTCAAAGCTCTAGTTTTGCAGTGCCATCCACACCCCATCGAAGGCTCGAAGGTGCATCGACACCCTTTTGGAAGCTAACGTCTTAGGTTGGACACCTGAATCAGACACGTGAGGGCTGCAACAACGGCGGTGCTGAGGCCGTGAGCATCGCGAGCTGGGCGGCGCTCGTGTTGCTCCGTGGCCGCGACTGCAAGTGAGGGCACCGATTTGCCTTGGGAAAAGTTTTTGCAGAAGCTGCAAGTGGCACGTGCGTCGCATGAGGCATGCGCGGCACATATGTGGACCAGCCACGCTTTGTCGCCTTGGCATCAGCAGGCGGCTGCCAGCAGCAAAAAGAGCTTGCACACGCAAGCGCTCATGCACATGCATGATCCGCAGCATCCGCTCTGCAGGCGACCGCTCGATCCCGTTCTCGACCTTGGCACCGGCCTTCGGCAGCTCGGGCCAGGCGTGGAACACACGAAGCAAATTGCGCTGACAGAGCGCGTCGCGGTGCTGTCAGCAGGTTCCCAAGGCCATCTTCGAGGCGATGAAAGCGAAGCACGTGGTGAAGTTGGACACGAAAGCTGCGGTGCCATGGCCGGAGTTTCTAAGGGTTTCTCCCTCTCCCGCAAGGTGTCTGGGGCCCAAAAAATGTGCAGGTGCAGGGGCTCGACGAGAAGACTCTGCGCTTGATCCTAAACTCTGGAGTGGACGTCCAGCTTGGGCCCATCGCCCTGGAAAACAGCGGCCTCGGCCTGGTTGGTCTCGTTGAGTGCCTTGCCGCCTCAGCTCCGGAGTCCCTGCAGCTTCGCAGCTTTCGCGGCTTTGCGGGCGTCCCCTGGCAGCTCCTTGGCGGCGCTGAATGGCCACAGCTCAAGAAAGCCGACTTCGCTGAGCAGCTCGGAGGGCACACTTGGAGCTGCTCTTCTTTTTTCGTATTCAGGCGGTACCCCGCTGCTCCTCTCCTCCGTGCCCGGGGTCCAGGTGTTTCGAAGAGCACGGCGATGGAGCTGCCGAGCTGCTCGGGGCCTTGGCCCGCTGCCGGGAGCTACAGGAGCGACACTGCACGCTATAACTGGACTCGAAGGTATTGCGTAGTATAGATGTTGGGCAGGCCCCGCCATAAAAGTAAAACACCAAGGCCTTCTTTTGGGAGCAGGCATGTCAAACATTTTGTATGTGTTATGAGTGCTGTAGTAGTGTGCCACCGTATGGTCCATGGTATGTGGTATACGAGAAACGATGGCATGTGGCGGTAGCGTAGCTTCACTCACTTGGCAGAGGCGTGCCTTCAGGAACTCACTGCGCCTATCCTGATCCCTCCTCGGAAAGTTCATCTCGCCTCGCAGTGGCATATCTCGTCTCAGCGTGTAGGTGAAAGTAGGTGGTTTTTTTCTATAAACTTGAGCTGATGATGTTGGATCTTTTGCAGCTATATAGGATGGACCGGGGAGGGCCCCTCTTCTCTCGGCTCGGGGTGATGCGGCCTAGGAAGGGGCCAGGGACTAGACTAGAACTTGCATGCGGTGCTCCTCCGCATCACTGAATCACTGAACGGAAGGGCTATATGCCCACAAGCCCCAAGCAGCCTCCTGAGCTTCCCCAGCCCGAAAGCCTCCGCCTGAACTTCCCTCCGCCAGAATCCTGCCCCGCCATTCTGCGACCCCGTCCCCCCCCTGCCGAGGGGCAGCCCCACCTAAGCACCGCGCAGCGCCAGGAGCTCAACATGTACAAATGCCGACACGTCCCGGCGGCGGCCTGGCGGCTGCTCGCAAAGGCCGAGTGGCCGGCATTGAAGAAGGCCAACTTCTATGCGCGCCTCGGGTGCTCTTTGCCTTTTCGTTTCTTTTCTGCTGCGCGCCTCATCTCCTCTCTCCTCCGTGCCGGGGCCCAGGTGTTTCGAAGAGGACGGCGAGGGAGCTGCCGAGCTGCTGGGCGCCTTGGGCCGCTGCTGGAAGCTCGAGGACGCGGCAGAAGGTGTTGAATGTGTTGACGTTTTCAGATAACGCATGGTTGCGGGTGAAGTCGCCGAAGCGGAGACTGCAGTAAGCGGGAGGGCCTTGCATTTTGTGCGATATTTTGCAGTGCATGACGTCAGCTCGCCTCGCAGTGGCGTCTCTCGTCTCAGCTTGCAGGTGGAGGTAGGTGTTGTCTTGCCCTTCAGCTGATGAGCCCCTGGCAACCTTGAAGGCCAAAGATCGCTGCTTAAGCTCCGACGGCCCATAGGATGGGACGGATAGGATCTCAGACCGCTGCGAAAGGTTTTTGCGGCTTGGGGTGGTGCGGCCTAAAGCATAGGCGCCATCTCAGTTGCAACACCCGAGGGCTTGCAGAGTCTGTGACCCTGAACTCTACTGCCAGACCAACTTCCGGCGAGAGTTAGGTCCAAGGTTGGGTCTGCTGTTGCATGCGGTGCTCCTCCGCATCACTGAATCACTGAAAGCAAGGCTTGTTTGCCCACAAAAGGCCCCGAAAGCCCCAAAGCAGCCCCAGCCCGAAAGCCTCCGCCTGAACCCCCTCCGCCATTCTGCGACCCCGTCCCCCCCTCCCGAGAGGCAGGCCTCCCAATAAGCACCGCGAACCGCCAGGAGCTCAACATGTACAAATGCCGCAACGTCCCGGCGGCGGCCTGGCGGCTGCTCGGCAACGCGGAGTGGCCCGTGCTCAAGAAGGCCAACTTCTCTTGGCGCCTCGGAAGAGGGGCCAAGCTCGCAGGTGCTCTTTGCCTTTTCGTTTCTTTTTTTCTGCTGCGCGCCTCGTCTCCTCTCCCCTCCCGGGTCCCGGGGCCCAGGTGTTTCATTGAGAACGGCGACGGTGCAGAAGGGCTGCTGGGCGCCTTGGGCCGCTGCCGGGAGCT